ACCTACTGACAAATTATACACAGCGGATCAAGAAATATATGTCTAGGTAAGGTTTATCTGAGAACAACTGGTCTTTGCCTAAGATTTATCTACATGACACACAGTAATTAAAAATACCAGACTGGTGGAACTAACCTTCTTGGGTGTTTAACAAACATACCTTAAGGTCTATAATAATTTGGTCAGAGGGACATAAAGGACACTTTTTGCTCTATGCCCTACTAGGTCGACTAGTTCCAGGGGACTATGAGCATCTCTCAAAATGTCCTATAATGGTGGTGGGTCACCTGTTATTATAGACCTCAAAGTATGTCTGTTAAACACCCAAGAAGGTTAGTTCCACCAGTCTGGTACTTTTAATTACTGTGTGTCATGTAGATAAATCTTGGGCAAAGACCAGTTGTTCTCAGATAAACCTTACCTAGACATATATTTCTTGATCTGCTATGTATATTTTGTTAGTAGGTTGTAGGAGTAATATGGTTCTCTCTGGTTTTCAAAACTAGCTAGGCATTGTTTATCTCTTACATTGTCTCACTCCTCCATCATGTTTTCCCACTCAAGGTGCCCCCATTTCCCCCCTTTCTCCCTTAATAATACCCGTCTCCTATGGTCCTACCTCTCTTGAGCTCCTACAGGTGATACCTTCTTTTGAGTTGTTGGCCAGGGTGGCCAAAGGGATTCCCAGATAGTAATCCAGCATAGAACTGGGAAATTGAACAGCAGACCCCAATCTTATCCAAAGGAATATTGACAACTGATTACTGCTAGATGAGAACAGCTGACTCTCCTGAAACAGAGACCTCTAAATAGGCTGACTAGATTCACCAGAAGGGCAAGTAGTGGGGAATGGCTGAGTGTGCTGACAACATAGCAGACAGTAGCAGGGATATCAGAGTATAAGAGCTCTAGTGGGGGGATGGAGGCTGTGGGAGGGTGCTACCTGGGAAGTGGGTGTATTAAAAAAATTATTCAAAGTATAAAAATTTGCTCCTTAATAATTAGTAGATGTGAAAAAAAATTACCATTGAAATCTACCTGGTGACTTTATATCCATGCTTAGATGCCAAGGAGCTCAGAAAGTAACTGACTTTGACTAGTAATAATCAGATATATAAAGATTAGAAACATATATGCGTCTTAGTGTCAATTCTATTAAAAATGAATTTTTCTGTATGAAACTGTGTATTTTAACAATGAAATGGAGATCTTTTCTAAAGTTTAAAACCTCATTTAATTTTATGTTTTATAGGGCTTATACTGAGTACAATATTGTATAACTGTATTAATTCCCACAAGGTGCTAAAAACCATTTGTAATTGCAGTTCCAGGGGGATCTGACACTTTCTTGTGGCCTCCACAGGCATTGCATACACATGGGTGCACTTACATACATGCAAGCAAAACACTTATATACATGAAAATAGAAACCTAGGCCAGGTGTGGTGGCACATGACTTTAATCCCCGCAATTGGGAGGCAGAGACAGGTGGAGCTTTGTGAGTTCAAGGCCAGCCTGGTCTACATAATGAGTTCCAGTTCAGCTGGGTTACAGGGAGATTCTGTCTCAAAAAAAAAAAAAAAAAAAAAAAAAGACCAAACGAACTAACTAACTAAATAATAATAAATAATTAAACCTACAATCTTGTAGAGGCTGTTGGACATAAAGCTCAGCTAGATAGCACAACACTGATGTTCTGAATTCTACACGTTCTGAATATGTTCTACATACATTGTCTTTTTTGGGCACAGGGCCTCTTGTAACCCAGGCTGGCTATTAGCTGAGGGTGAACTTGCACTCCTAATTCCTCATCTTTCTTTGCCTCCATCTCCCATGCGAGTGTTGAGATTACAGGCCTATGCCACCACACCCAGATTTTATAAGCATTTCCACAAAAGTTATATTGAAGGTATTGCAATCACCAGTCACTCTTCCATCCAATTGTTTCTTCAAGGCAGGGATACCTTTTGTTCTGTTTTAATTTTCCCAAACCAAATACTACCTGTTGAATGTTGTTATTGATATCACTCATCCCCAGGCCTTACCCTTCCTAGAGACAACATATTTCAACACACATATAACAAGGGGTGTGGAAACAGGGAGGTAGAGTTCACAAGATACTATAAATAAAAGTGAAAGGCACAGGCCAGGTGTGGTGGTGCATGCCTTTAATCCTAGCACTTGGGAAGCAGAAGCAGACAGACCTCTGTGAGTTCACCTTCAGCCTGGTCTACATAGTTAGTTCCAAGCCAGCTGGGGCTATAGAAAGATCCTGTCTAAAAAAAAAAAAGTGAATGGCACAGCTGCATTTATCTGGCAGTAATGACACTCAGAGACAATTTGCTAATCAAGGGTATCACAGCCCAAAGGTGGGACTGATATTCTCAGATAATTCCTCCTCCCCCACTGAATCTAGGGCTTAGTCCATGTGTTCTACCATTGAACTACAATGCAAGCCCCAGGTAACTAATTTTTAAAAAATCAATATTTAGACTTGGGCATGGTGGCACACGCCCTTAATCCCAGCAATCCAGAGGTAGAGGCAGGCAGATCTCTGTGAAATTGAGGCCAGCCTGGCCTACATAGTGAGTTCCAGGCAGGCTGGGGCTAGAGAGACCCTGTCCAAAAATACATATATATATATATTTAGGCATATTTCATTGTGGGTGTTTCTCTCCACACTCCCATACTCACCTTTTCTTCTTATGCATGAAGTGTAGTATAAACCATTTCAATTGAAGTGAAAATGAGTTTTGCTACTTTCTTAAAAATATTTTATTTTTCTTACTTTATGTGTTTTGAGTGTATTGCCAACATATATGTACGTGCACCTGTGTCCTGCAGTGCCCAAGGAGGTCAGAAGAGGGTGAAGGATCCCCTGAAACTGGAATTACAGGTGGTTGTTAGGAGCCATGTGAGTGCTAGGAACTGAACCTGGCTCCTCTGCAAGAACAAGCAGTGCTCTTAACCACAAAGCCTTCTATCCAGTCCCGAGTTCTGCTAGTGCATTTAGCCAATCACACATTTCCTTTTATATTTTTCACGGGAATCCTAAAATAGCACGAATTAATGAAAATTCATGCAGATATCTGAAATACACAATTTGAGCTACAAAATTAAAATTATCATTAGCAGGATACAGCATAGCTTAGAGGTAGAGTGCCTAGAGGGACCTGGCACAAACAAAACCAGCTGCCTTAATAATTGCTTTTTCAGCTAATTTTAAACTATTTTCTCCAAGAAATCCTTAGCCTTTCAATGTGCTTTCCTGTCTTTTCCACAAGGAAACATTAGAAGATCCTATCTTGTTAATATGTAATGCAATTCTAGTGGATACTATTTTTCATAAGAGGTTTAGCTGTGCTTGCTCACGTTATATATTATAATGCATTCATCCTGAAAACATAGTATTTAGAGAACATTTCCATTAATGGTTGTCCTGCTTCTGCCTCCCAAGTGCAGGAATTATAAGTTCGCATCCCCATCTGACTCTATTACACAAATTTCCTGAAAAGGCCACTCTACACAATAAAAATCTTTTTGAGATCGGGCATGACAATGTAGCCCAGGCTAACTTGGAACTTGGCAAACCTTCAGTTTTGTGAGTGCTGTTCCATTCTGCTTATACCAGCAGCCTGGCAGAATTTACTTTAAATTTCTGCACTAGTAAAATACACTCCAATCACAGCATAGTGAAAAGACTAGGTACCTCATCTTTATCGTCTTTTAATTTCAGTAGATGATTCATGACAATTCAGTTGTAAGAACGAAAGGCCCGTTGCTTTTAACATTAACATTAGCCTTTTCAAAGTTGGTCTTGAATTTGCAGTGTAGCATAGCTAAACTTATGGTGCTTTTCCCACATTCGGAGAGCTGAGACTAAACATGCAGTTTTATCACCTCGGCCCGATTTATGCAGTGCTGGGGATTGAACCCTGTGCCTCATTCATAGGAGTCAAACACTCTACCAACTGAGCTAATCCCCAGCCCCAGCATTAGTTTTAACACTCGCTTTATTATGAACTTGAGTTAGGCTTCTTTTAAAATTTTTTCCTGTATCTTTTTCTTTTCTGTGTTTTTAGGTCTCATGTAGCACAGGCTGGCCTAGAACGCCCTATGTAGCTGAGGATGACCTTGAACTCCCAAACTTCCTGCCCCCACCAAGCGCTGGGATTACAAAGCTGTACCACTACACACCGGCCTCTTGATTTTCTAATGCAGGATTCATCCCTTTCAGCTTGCGAGCAAAATATGGTTCAGAAGGTTAGCTGTTAGCACCAAGGAAAAAGTGCTATTTTAATTCTTTACATCCTTGTTTTATTTTAGCATCAGTTTTCTCTCCTCCGTTACAATTTTAATGGAGTCCTTGATGTTGTTTTTTTTTTTTTTTTTCAAACATACTCTCAAGAGCTTTCATTGCGCCTGTTTTCAGTGGTGCATCCTGTGGTGTGCAGCAGATGTAAAACCACAGTGAAACAGGTTGGTTTTAGAACTACTTCTATGGCTTAAAGAGCGCCTGGTTACAACAGCCACAATTTTTATTTAAATTCAATGTTTTCCTTGCGTTCATTACTAGGCCCTCCAGAATGAGGAATGAGCTTCATTCTGCTGTGCCCAGACTGTTTTCTTTGTTGCCTCCACGACCCTGGAGAACGTGTTTCCCGGGGAGGCATTCTTGGACTGGAGCAGAGACCAGGAAGACAAGATCTAAAGATCTGGTACCTCCCGCATCGGCTCCTCCCTACTCGGGAGGCGGGAATCACTAGACAGTCCGAACAGTCCACGGTCTAGCCCCGGCTCTCAGGCCTGTGGTCCGTGGATGCGTTTCACTCTCCCCCTTTCCTGTCTTCCAGCCCATCTCCAGGCCAACCGTACAGGCAGCCGCGGCTAGCCACCACACGCCCCGGCCCCATCCGGGAGCTGGCGGGCCGGCTGCAGACGACTTCGCAGGCAGAGGAAGCCTAGCCCGGACGCACCCTGCACAGCGCCCGGCGCCCCGCGCCCCGCGCCCACAACTCCGCGCTCCCACCCGGCCTTTGTACGTGCACAGAGGCGAGCCAGCGCGCCGTGCACGTGACCCCGCCGAACGTGGCATTGTGTTATCACGTGACCCAGGTGCGTACGCGACGGAGCGGGCTGCGAAGATGGCGGACGAGGAGGCCGAACAGGAGCGGCTGAGCGGCGGCGGCTGCGCGGCGGAGCTGCGGCGCCTGGGCGAGCGGCTGCAGGAGCTGGAGCGGCGGCTGCGCGAGAGCCGGGAGCCTGCGGTG